TTACTTACTCAGCAACCATTAACACAATCTTTCACAGAATACGGCAATGTCCATAGAACAAACTGTTTCTTGATTATGAGATGTTCATTGTACTAAAAGAGAGAGAAACAGATAATAATTTGACTTGTACCAGTTGTAACTCTAGTTGTACAAGTGCATTCAAAAAATTAAATTGATTATGTTAAAACGTGTGCATCCATTATACCATTAACAGAAAAGGCAACTTCTTTATTTAAATCCTGAGATAGAGAATGCGCTTTTACTTTTACTCTTCGATACTCTATTTGCACAAGTAGGACCTTTAAACAAATTAATTCTAATAAAACAATAATCAATGAACAAATACCATAAGCAGTTTTCACACTTAAAATACAGATCTACCTTTAATCTAGTGCCAGTAACACATTTATAAAAAATTAATGAACAAATAAATCAAGAAATAATGATAACAATAACAGAAGAAGCAATCTATACACTAAGGTCCTTATCAGCATATACACTTTAACTTTTTGTGTAGGAGAAACGCTAAACAAAATGATAACGTTAAAATAGTAATAAATTGATATGAACAAGCATATGCCCCACCAACAGAAATGTCAATAAAAGGATCAAGTGTTGGTATACAACTAACTAAAATTTCTTCAATATCGCCCGTAAATTACTTTCACAGAGAGTATGTTCCCTACCAGCATCAGCATACTGCCGGTAAACCTTGTGTCGGGACACACTGGACGGCAATAGCTTGGCCTTCCCATAATCCCTCACTCCAGGTATCCTCCCAGGTAGTAAAATGGTGTAGTCTTCAGCATAGTTCTCCAAAAATGCTACCACATCTTTAATGCCTTCCACAGAAACAGCATGACAAGGAATGCGACCAGTGTTCCCATGAACCCTTCAATAAAAATTTTAATTACTCTCCTTTGGATTATTCTTATTATTTTTACCTAGGTTTTATTCCATTTTGAAGGAAATGCCTCCTCAAGTTCTTGTAAGTACCATTTCTGATACTGTATACGAACAAGAAGAGCTTCTTACATATCTATTTTTAAAAGATAAGAAATAACTTATTGTTATAGATATTTTTTGTTCAATACTTTCTTTCCCCTGTATTCATACTCAGTCCTATTCCTCTGTACTGTTTCACAAGATG